GGGAGAGGGAGAGGGAAAGGGGGAGAGGGGGAGAGGGGGAGAGGGGGAGAGAGGGAGAGGGGGAGAGGGGGAGAGGGAGAGAGTAAACCCAAATGTAACCATTGATTCAATGGGAACTTGATTTCTGTATCAAGCAGGTCTGGGACTAGACCTCAGTTCCATTACAAACTACATATGCACATACTTAGTGAGACGTTGTCTATGACATGAAGCCATCGTAACAACGAGTTATGACCTAGCTGGTCATCACAGCAGTGGGACACTGGAACACAGAGGATAGGCTCTGTACTCCTTGGCTGATCACAGTCTAGTCGGGTGACCCAGTTATTCATCAAATAGGTTTCCTGTCCTCTACCTTGTTAGATGAAGGTGAACTTGAGCAGCACGTGGCATAAAGTGCAGACTTGATAAACACCGGACTACACAAGTCTCACTCCCTCATTTTTTACAACACTTCTTTTTCTTTTACCAAATTTCTACTAGAAGATCTAACTCTACATAATGAGAACTAAAAAAGGACAATGGCATCAACATCAAAAGAAAACCAAACTTAAATGAGTTGGTTAAAGGGTAACAATGTGTAAGACATCATATTTCAGAAGCACTAGTCACCAGAAGGGATCATTTTCTGTTCAAAGGATTCCCGTCCCGGTCCTCCTGAGAATACTTAATCTCCCACATACCCTCATCAGCAGTGGTCGAGGTACCAGGCTAGTCTATAAAGCTCTTCTCTGGGCAGCCCTGGCACACTTGCAGACATCTACTTCCCTGTTATGTTCTTCACAAATCTTAAATATTGCCTCAAAAGTTAGTCAGGTTTTGAAAGCAACTCAGAAACTGAGGCAGCACCCATCACGCAGGGATGGCCCACAGGGATGTCATCAAGTGCTCCAGTTAGACACAGAGCATGTGTTTCCAGAGTGCTCCACCAGGGGGACCTCTTAACTTTCCAAATAGTAAGCTGGGCTTTCACTACCAAATTATGAAAAAAGCCCAATAAAAGCCCTTGGTAAGATAGAAATATATTTATATAAATAAGCTGATTAAAACTCCTTCTGAAGGAGAAAGAATAAGGAAAATGACAATAAAGTATGATTAGTCACAGTTAACAAATCAGAAGCACAGACAGTACTGGGACTTCTTTACCATGCACTAGAAGCCAGGGAAGTTGGTGAGCACCTGTGGGAGTGGCAGGAATGGCTACTTCATCTGCCACTGCATTCAAGTGTTCAATCTTTGCACATAAAGCCATAATATACATATGTAGAAATGAAACGTACAAGAGTTATCCATAAGCAGAAAGCTTGCTGTGTGTACCTCACATTAATCAATGTCTGATACCAAGTGGGGGGTTTCTTTCTTTTACCGCCGCACAGATAAAATAAGAAAGCCGCCTGGAGCGAGGCTAGGCTCGCACTGTCATTCTAGACCAGAAGTAACATCGACATTCTCAAACGCAGTTTATAAAGCTCAAGCTCTTGGAAAAAGTAATTTCCTTTTCGAGATTATTTCCTA